TGTGGAGAAAAACACCCTTGAGACTTATTTTCAATGCATCTATGAAAAGTCTCCACTCCTGTGAACTGTAGGTGAAGTTCAGCACCTTCATTAGGCCAGCAACATCATTGTCACGTTCGATTATTACTGCATGCAGCAACATACACATATTTCTCTATAACGTCTGTGTTTGCCATGAACTGTGAATATATACATATATATACACGTTACACAAAAAGTATCCCTGACAACAAAATTCTGTTTCCAGATTTGAATTTCCCATGATAAATTGGTTTAGAATCACACATTTTAATATCAGAAATAGAACCCTTGTCAAACAGTGTATAATTCAACATGAATATCACAAATATTTACCTATTAACTGCCTTGACATATTCAGATTCTTCATCCTGTTGAGCATTTATTTCTACTCCCATTGCAGTTTCTTAATAAATATATTATAAAAATATACTAATACCTTATAAGATTATGTAGCGATTGGATTAATAATAGATACCTGCTATAATATCAAGAGTGCATAAGGATAACATGCGAGTGATGTTCACCCATGGATCTTGTACTTTTTTCTCTAGTTTATCGATTAAAATAAAACAATGTTTATTGATAACTATATGAAAATTTTCTAGAATTTTAAAGTGAAATGCTGGTGTTAATAACTTTCGTCTTGGCTTCCATAATTCTCTGGATCTGCATTATAAAATAAACATAAAACCTTCTATATTATCAATGAAATTCTACAGTATTGTATCAGAAATTTATATAAAATGTATAAAATTTTTATTTTTATATATTATATAATAACATAATTCTCTTATTTCATTTAATTTTTATATAATTAAATATAAATATAAATTACCTAGTTATTAACCCATTTCCTAGCCACGAATTTATAGGTTTATACATCAAACCTTTATCTAGAACCGTGTGACTGTTTATAATTGTCTTGAGGAAGAAATAAATATAATTGAAATAAACTGTATTTTTTTTTAACTTAATAAACGTATTTTTTTATATACTTTACTTTTATAAATTCCGGTTTGTATAGATGTACAAATACGTTTCCAGCCACACAAATCGAATAAATTCTTTCTCTATCGTATATACGGCTGTTTGCACATAAATATTGAAAAATCCCTAATTAAAATTAAAATATAAATGATTAAATTTATAAAATTTCCTTATTTTTTTAATTAGGCTACTAATAATTATAAAATGTAGAAAACTTACAAACGTATGGATTATAATCTGGGTTATTTCTATTCATTATTGATGTATAAAATATATGAATTACATCGATAACTGGACGAATTGGTAAATTATACTCTTTCAGACGTTTCAATTGTTTATGTTGGTTCCATTTCATTCTTAATATCAACAGAACTATACAAGCAATAACTATATACAATTGCAATAGCATTGCTATAGTTTGAGTGTTTAAATCGATACTTAAAACAATTTTTGACCTTCGTATGTAGATAACATTTCTTATATATTATATATCAGTTAAATACTGTGATTTATAAACACGAATAGCTGCTTTATCTTATTATATATACAGTAATACCTCGACTTACGCGAACCCGGAGTTACGCAATTTTCAAATCTCGTCGATTCGTCTTTTGTTTGAGCGCCATGCAACTCTCGATTACTCACTCCCCCCACACTATTGTTCAGCTTACATCTTCGGACGTGTCGCGCGGAATCGACACATAGCTACAATTTATTTTGTGTTATTTATTTCTGTGTTTTTTACATCTACAAAGACTTGAGAGACTCTGTGTGGTGATTTCTTGTAACCGTGAACGAATCAACAGACGAGATAAGATTAACGAGAATATTTATTAGCTTATATACACAACCGACTTGGATTTTAAACAAATTGCGAAATTATACCCCGACTTACGCGGTTATCGCTCGGTCCCACCTATCGTGTTAGTTCGAAGTATTATTGGATTGATTAGACGTAACAATTAATGTAAGATTCTGTTGTTTGTAGTTTGAATTTCTGATCGTTTATCGTATTAATTGTTGCAATTGTAAATAAACAACTGTAAAAACATCTTTTATAATACAGCTGTTTATAGAAATAGTAGCAAAGTAATTAGTTATTGCATTGGTGATTGATTGATTGACTCCGTTCTCGAGATTAATGAAAGACAGTGATATTTATAGGTTTACAATTTTTTTCAAATTGCAGCCCAATGACACCAGCAATGAATGCACAGAATTGTTAATAAAAGCCAAAGATCATCAACAATGGCCTTATACCAGTTGCCTACAACCTACAATGTACTGAGCATTCGAACCCTTTTGCTCGGCAAGGAGGTTCCCCGGGACATAAGCCTGTTTGTTGGGCCAATCTGGTAGCCCTGCGCTGACGATTACATCTGGATTATTAAAATACAGATGCCGATTATGCCTTGCATTTCTCCAGATGTACAAGGTATCCTGTTCTTGAGCCGCCCTCCGGGCACACTTTAAAATGTTCGCTTTATCGGCAACCCTTTACGTTTTAAATATGTTAGTTTAAAAAAAAAAGACTTAAAAATAGGCGCGTATCGACGGTCGCCATCTTGTTTTATTTCTCACAGGTCGCATACAAGATGGCGACCGGAAGCGCGGCCATTGGGACTATCAATGTAAAGTTTAACCTTCACGTCTCTTAGAATAAACAATGTTAATAGATATTTACATAATTCACATATTTTAAAGCTTAGGTTAAAGTAAAAAAAAACAGTAAAATCTTTTTAATTTTACAGGAGATATATTTAAAAGGTTAATGTATACCTAAGTAACTAAAATGGCCGCGCTTACGACTGTTGGTGCTCCCGACGGACTCCTCCCGGAGAGAATCCGCCGAGTGTTTAACGTCACTAGTTATTAATTCACGGTAGTTCTTGAACAAAATAAAAAAGGAAACGCTACTAAAAATATAATTAATCTAACCTAATGGAAGCGCCGTCATTGGGGTTACCTAGGTACACTTTAACCGATGTGAAGTGCACTTACTCTAGCCGAAGTCGTCTAAGAATAAAATTTTATGTGACTATGGTAATTTTCATTTTGTAACTTTTCACATTGTGTTTCTACGCGACAACGCAACAAGTGATCGATCTGACGAAGTCGATGCCTTTCAAGAGGACTTTCTGTAAGAAACTGGTCTTTATTTAGGTATTACAGCGTGAAGAAAACCCGTAAAACTCCACGTAAATAGCACGTTGGCCAGGCGCAAAACCACCACCAACCACCAGTGTTTAGTGGTTTTATTCACTTGGCCATTGGTTGACCAAAAATCTTCATTTACAAGCATCGAAATATCGGCCATTTTTCTACATAGAAGCATAATCACTATAGAATTTAAACGCTACAAGAGATCCTTATTACATATTATTTCATATACTTGTGCCACGAAGATAAATATTTTCTGACTCCTGCTCCAAAAACCTTACCTTTTTAATTTTTCTTTAACTGTATTATTAAATAATAGTCCCGTTTTCAATGAACGTCAACTTAATACAAACGTCATATAACAATGAATTAATATTACTGGAAGAAAATGTATTTCTAAATAAATTAGTAAACTTTTATAAAGTGAATCAGATTNACCTATTAACTGCCTTGACATATTCAGATTCTTCATCCTGTTGAGCATTTATTTCTACTCCCATTGCAGTTTCTTAATAAATATATTATAAAAATATACTAATACCTTATAAGATTATGTAGCGATTGGATTAATAATAGATACCTGCTATAATATCAAGAGTGCATAAGGATAACATGCGAGTGATGTTCACCCATGGATCTTGTACTTTTTTCTCTAGTTTATCGATTAAAATAAAACAATGTTTATTGATAACTATATGAAAATTTTCTAGAATTTTAAAGTGAAATGCTGGTGTTAATAACTTTCGTCTTGGCTTCCATAATTCTCTGGATCTGCATTATAAAATAAACATAAAACCTTCTATATTATCAATGAAATTCTACAGTATTGTATCAGAAATTTATATAAAATGTATAAAATTTTTATTTTTATATATTATATAATAACATAATTCTCTTATTTCATTTAATTTTTATATAATTAAATATAAATATAAATTACCTAGTTATTAACCCATTTCCTAGCCACGAATTTATAGGTTTATACATCAAACCTTTATCTAGAACCGTGTGACTGTTTATAATTGTCTTGAGGAAGAAATAATTATAATTGAAATAAACTGTATTTTTTTTTAACTTAATAAACGTATTTTTTTATATACTTTACTTTTATAAATTCCGGTTTGTATAGATGTACAAATACGTTTCCAGCCACACAAATCGAATAAATTCTTTCTCTATCGTATATACGACTGTTTGCATATAAATATTGAAAAATCCCTAATTAAAATTAAAATATAAATGATTAAATTTATAAAATTTCCTTATTTCTTTACTAATAATTATAAAATGTAGAAAACTTACAAACGTATGGATTATAATCTGGGTTATATCTATTCATCATTGATGTATAAAATATATGAATTACATCGATAACTGGACGAATTGGTAAATTATACTCTTTCAGACGTTTCAATTGTTTATGTTGGTTCCATTTCATTCTTAATATCAACAGAACTATACAAGCAATAACTATATACATTTGCAATAGCATTGCTACAGTTTGAGTGTTTAAATCGATACTTAAAACAATTTTTGACCTTCGTATGTAGATAACGTTTCTTCTTCTTCTTATTAATGTGGGAAGTTGGACGCCTGCTTCGAGGCTTTAGCGTCCCGCCGACGTATATTTGTGGCTGGCCGTCCTCTAGCGGTGAGGACAGGAAATAATGAGTAGGTGGCGCCCTCTAGTAGCGGAACATTTTACAGTACTCTTTGAAGTAGGTGATCAAGGCCTGCTGACAGTTGGCTGGAGGAAAGAGGTTGATTTAATTGGAGATCTTGGCGTTATTTGGTGTGTTGATAGGATAATCGTTTAGAATTTTTTTTCCGGATATTGTCAAAATTGGGGCAGTAGTCGAGGCGGTTCAAGGATGTGTCGATTTGATCGTGACATGTGCTGTATTTATCAGTTTTTTTGATTTTCCGGGTGAAGAGGAAGTGGTTGGCAAGAAGCGAGTTAGTCCTGGCGCGGTTGACAAGGACGTTTATGCTTCGATCGGTGATTGAGGGAATGGTGATATGGGAATAATCGTGAAGCCAGGGGTAATTGGAGTGGTTATGATAGTTGTTCCAGGCGTCTTCCATGATCTGCTGGTGATCGAGGAGCAGAACCCCGTGGAGGTCTTCAGGTGTGATGAAGTTGGAGTTCACAGAAGTTGGCGGCTTACTTTTAGTGATGGCGTCGTCTTTTTCGTTGATATCGATGCCAAGATGGGCCGGAGTCCAAACAAGGTGTAGGTGTTTGCCTTGGCAGTAGTGGGAGTGGAGGCGTTCGTGAATGCTATGAATGATGTTAGGGGAGTTGGCATTATAATTAGCCAAGGCAGTGAGGATCGATTTAGAGTCTGTGCATATGACGGCATTGTCACAGGAGGTAGTAGAAGCATAGGAGATTGCCTGCAGGATGGCGTAGCCCTCGGCCGTGAAGATAGAGGCTTCAGGGTGGAGGGTGTAGTGGGCCGTAACGTTGTGAGTGTCGTCGACGTACGCAGCTGAGACTCTGTGGGATGATTTGGACCCGTCAGTGGCAATGAAGGTGTGGGAAGACTAATGGAGGTGTCAGATCCTAAACAACAGACGGATGCAGTCGTTAGAGTTGCTTGTGCGCTGGAAGTCGTAGTCATCGAGTGAAATATGGTGGAGGGTGTGAAGACGCGAGTTGTGCGAGGGGAGGTTGTCGGGCGAGATAATGATGTTGTGGCGGGAGATCCAGTTGCGGGTGAAATGGTTGAGCGGAAGCTTAACCAGGGCAGCACCATCTGGGTGATGGATGTGGTGAAGAATCTCGTGGAAGAGACGGTCATCGTTCGCTTTTTTTAGGTACGTGCTGTACTGGTTAATGATGATCTTTTGGAAGCGTAGTTCGATCGTGGTCCTTTTGGCTGCCCGGAGGGTAACAATATTGTTGGTTGTAGGGGGAGACCCAGGCAAAGTTTGAGGTACTGAGTCTGGATGGAGTCGAGGATTTTGTAATGGGTGGGCGTGAGGGATGCGATGCCAGGGATTGTGTAGGTTAAAATGCTACCGATGATACTGTCGGCTATGATGATGAGATCTTTGGGGGAACCACTGTGCTTCTTGCTGCAGAAAATCTTGAAGAAGTTGAGAAGGCGATTGCATTTGTTATGGATGTGGTGGATGTGGGCAGACCAGGAAAGTGTAGAGGTGATGTGAATGCCGAGGATGTTGAGTCTGCGGACAACGGGGAGAGTTTGACCTTGAATGGAGAGATTCTGGGTATACCGAGTGTTGTAAGGGATAGGGAGGATGGCGCATTTCTGAGGTTGGCAGGCGATAGCGTTGTGATCGGTCCAATCCGCGAAGGAGGTGAGGAATCTCTTGGTATGGTACTGAAGATCGGTAGGTGTGTTGGCGTGGACGATGGCTGTGATATCATCGGCGTAGACGTATATGTGGGTGTGTGAGTTTTTCAGCCGGAAGACGTCATGAATGAATAAGGCGAAGATGAAGGGGGCCCCTAGCCCGGGACGCCCCCTAGTGGGCGTTGTTTACAAATTTCCATGAAGCACGGTTCCTTTGACTTTTTTGTTCCTATCAATATGCTGTACAGCTCTGTTAAAGTCCCAATGGTAAAATAATAATTTATTGCCAAATGAATAATAATAATTCATATTGTTAATTTAAATAAGAATTAAAATTGTTAATTTGAATGTTTGAAATATGACACACGATAGGGGCGNACCTACAATGTACTGAGCATTCGAACCCTTTTGCTCGGCAAGGAGGTTCCCCGGGACATAAGCCTGTTTGTTGGGCCAATCTGGTAGCCCTGCGCTGACGATTACATCTGGATTATTAAAATACAGATGCCGATTATGCCTTGCATTTCTCCAGATGTACAAGGTATCCTGTTCTTGAGCCGCCCTCCGGGCACACTTTAAAATGTTCGCTTTATCGGCAACCCTTTACGTTTTAAATATGTTAGTTTAAAAAAAAAAGACTTAAAAATAGGCGCGTATCGACGGTCGCCATCTTGTTTTATTTCTCACAGGTCGCATACAAGATGGCGACCGGAAGCGCGGCCATTGGGACTATCAATGTAAAGTTTAACCTTCACGTCTCTTAGAATAAACAATGTTAATAGATATTTACATAATTCACATATTTTAAAGCTTAGGTTAAAGTAAAAAAAAAAACAGTAAAATCTTTTTAATTTTACAGGAGATATATTTAAAAGGTTAATGTATACCTAAGTAACTAAAATGGCCGCGCTTCCGACTGTTGGTGCTCCCGACGGACTCCTCCCGGAGGGGATCCGCCGAGTGTTTAACGTCACTAGTTATTAATTCACGGTAGTTCTTGAACAAAATAAAAAAGGAAACGCTACTAAAAATATAATTAATCTAACCTAATGGAAGCGCCGTCATTGGGGTTACCTAGGTACACTTTAACCGATGTGAAGTGCACTTACTCTAGCCGAAGTCGTCTAAGAATAAAATTTTATGTGACTATGGTAATTTTCATTTTCTAACTTTTCACATTGTGTTTCTACTCGACAACGCAACAAGTGATCGATCTGACGAAGTTGATGCCTTCCAGGAGGACTTTCTGTAAGAAACTGGTCTTTATTTAGGTATTACAACGTGAAGAAAACACCTAAAACTCCACGTGGCTAGCCCGTTGGCCGGGCGCAAAACCACCACCAACCACCAGTGTTTAGTGGTTTTATTCACTTGGCCATTGGTTGACCCAAAATCTTCATTTACAAGCATCGAAATATCGGCCATTTTTCTACATAGAAGCATAATCACTATGGAATTTAAACGCTACAAGAGATCCTTATTACATATTATTTCATATAATTGCGTCACGAAGGTAAATGTTTTCTGACTCCTGTTCCAAAAACCATACCTTTTTAATTTTTCTTTAACTGTATTATTAAATAATAGTCCCGTTTTCAATGGACGTCAACTTAATACAAACGTCATATAACAATGAATTAATATTACTGGAAGAAAATGTATTTCTAAATAAATTAGTAAACTTTTATAAAGTGAATCAGATTCAACTTTAAATTGTCCTTCAGAATACAAAGATTCATTCAGAAGTGTATCAATATAAAGAGTTTATAGTAATTTCTCGATTGATACTCGCCCTTCAT